AAAGGGGGAGAAAGAGGGGGGAACAGAGAGATGGGGAGGGGAGAAAGGGGGGGCAATAAAAAGATGGGGAGAAAGAGGGGGAATAGAGAGATGGGGAGGGGGAGAAAGAGACAGAGAGGGAAGAATGAGACACAGGGGAATAGAGAGATGGGGAGGGGGGAGACAGAGAGGGAAGAATGAGACACGGGGAGAAAGAGGGGGAATAGAGAGATGGGGAGGGGGAGAAAGAGACAGAGAGGGAAGAATGAGACACAGGGGGAATAGAGAGATGGGGAGGGGGGAGACAGAGAGGGAAGAATGAGACACGGGGAGAAAGAGGGGGAATAGAGGGAGGGGGAGAAAGAGACAGAGAGGGAAGAATGAGACACGGGGAGAAAGAGGAGGAATAGAGGGAGGGGGAGAAAGAGACAGAGAGGGAAGAATGAGACACGGGGAGAAAGAGGAGGAATAGAGAGTTGGGGGAGAAAGAGAGGGAAGAATGCCCCCCCTCCCCTGTCCGCAGGCACCGTGCAGGCAGGGGAGGAAGAGAGGACCTGGGAGCTCACCCTGCAGCTCCTCTGGGTCCTTCTTGCGCGAGCACAGAGCGTTGCCGCGGTTACCATGGCAACGTTACTGCTCTTGCGAGAGTCAACTCTAGCCCTGGAGCTACGGGCTAGAGTTCACTCTCAACACTGTAACCCCCATGGATTCCTGGTGGTCGCAGTGGTGAGAGTGAACTCTAGCCCCATAAACACACTGCCCCCACACACACACCATACACATTCACACACTGCCCCATACACACACACTACATACACCATACACATTTACACACATTGCCTCACACACACACATACACTGCCCACCCATATACACACAGACCCCCATACACAGCCCCCCATACTAACATTGCCACACACATACACTGCCCACACACCCTACACATTCACACACTACACCCCCACACACACACTGAACCTTTCACACACATTGCACCACTGCTCCTATTCCCTACTACAGCCTCATATCCCAGCAGACCCCAGGTAAGTTGTCAAACTGTTCTTAAACGGTTTGACTACTTACTCTGGAGCAGTAGTGGTTATTGTGCATGGATTATTTCTTTAAATAATCTACAAGTGCCCCAGTAGCCAGCCAGCCAACCCACAGGCTGGCCAGTAGCCAGCCAGTTAGCCAGCCCACAGGCCAGTAGCCAGCCCACAGGCCTACAGCAAGCCACAGGCTTACAGCCAGCAAGCCATAGCCTGCCAGCCGCAGTCAGCAAGCCCACAGCCTGCCGGCAGTAGCCAGCAAGCCCACAGCCTGCCAGCCGCAGTGCCAGCCGCAGCCAGCAAGCCCACAGCCTGCCAGCCGCAGCCAGCAAGCCCACAGACTGCCAGCCAGCAACAGTAATTAAGGTAAGAGGAGCCAACTTGGCTTAGGTATCAGCGAGCTATGTTGTGTTGCTATATTGTGAATAGGAACCAGAGTGTTGGAGAGACCACCCTCCAGGCCCCATTAGACTCTAGCCTCTGCTAGAAATCCCCTCCATGGCCCATTAGCCCTCAATTGTAGTTTCTACTGGGGCCTGGAGGCGACTGTTTCCAGCAGGGGATATCTAATGGACGCTGAGATGGCCTCTGTTAGAAAGACCCCCTTCCAAGCCTTTTAGACTCCATTGTAGTCTCTAATGGGGCTTGGAGGGGATTCTTTCTAACACACCCTCTAAAGGACACTGAGATAGCCTCCGCTAGAAAGACCCCCCTCCATGGCCCATTAGCCCTCAATTGTAGTCTCTACTGGGGCCTCGAAGGGCTTATTGCCCTTTTGTTCCTTGTGTCTAAAGATTGTGTACGGTGTGGCTGGAGGCGGGACAAGGGTGGCGCTTGCTGCAGAGTATGGGTGGGGCCTGTAAGGGGGCCCTTGATTTATTTTGCCCGGGGGCCCTGAGGGTTCTCAGTCCGCCCCTGGATAGCGGCATGGACCAGCACCTTAGCCACATCCAACGTTATATGGGGACAGATGCAAGCTATGTTTTTGAGATAGAGGTAGCAGGATTTCGCAAGTGACTGAACTCGAGGGGTGAAGGAGAGGTCGGAGTCAAAGAGAACACCTAGGCAGCGATTCATATACACAAAATTGCACTGAAAGCTAATAGGAGCAATATTGTCTTATAATAATCCTTCACCTCCCCCTAAAAAAAATTGTATAAACATAGAAACATAGAATGTGACGGCAGATAAGAACCATTCGGCCCATCTAGTCTGCCCAATTTTCTAAATACTTTCATTAGTCCCTAGCCTTATATTATAGTTAGGATAGCCTTATGCCTATCCCACGCATGCTTAAATAATTATATAATTATATTAAAACTGTCCAAATTATTCAAATCTACCACTAGGGTTCCATTAAACAAAAACATGTGAAATTAATACATTAGAAACATAATGTAATGTGTATTCTTCTATTTTGTTCCTGTATGAGGCAATGCTCTGATTGGCCAGTTCTCGTGAGACACATGGTCTGCAGCTCTGCTCACTGCGGAGCTGCAGACCGGTGCCTCTGATGGCTGGCCGGGCAGCCAGGAGGGGCCTCGCACCCGGCGGCATACCGGGCAAACTGCTGGGCCCCCTCCTGGTGTAGGGTCCTCAGTCACTGACCGGGGACCCGACACAATCTGCCCTCAGGCAGTTTAGGCGGCCGCAAGGTCCCAGCCAGGCCGAGGCCTTGCGCGGGCGCCTAAGCCGCCTAATTAGAGAGCCGCCTTTGGTGCCCGCTTTTTGAGGCGAAAGGACTGTGACAGAACTGCATGCCACAGAATAAAATACCTTTGGGTTAACTCGTAAAGATAAGCCATGCCAGGGACCTCCAGGCACTATAACAACTTAATTGCACTTAATTATTTTAAGTTTAATTTTATCAATTAACAAAATGTAGAGTGAGCAGAAGAAAAATCCTTTTCACTTCACCCCCCCACCATCACCCCCCTCACCATCACCCCTTCCCTCACACCATTATCCACTATACAAGCACACACACTGCATTCACTATACAAACACACACAGACACACACTTATACATATGTGTATCTGTATGTGTCTGTTTGTGTGTCTGTGTATCTTTTTGTGTGTCTGTGTTTGTATCAATGTGGGGGTATGTGTGTGTCTCTATTTGTATGTGTGTCTGTGCCTGTGTGTCTTTCTCTGTGTCTGTATGTGTGTGTGTGTGTTTTTATCTATATGTGTGTTTGTATCTGTGTGTCTATCTGTATGTGCCAGTGTTTGTATGTGTATGACTGTTTCTATGTAACTGCATGTGTGTACCTACGTGTCTCTGTATGTGTGCCAGTGTGTGTATATGTAAGTATATGTATGTATGTATGTGCTTGGAGTATTTCTTTAATTGCAATCACTTAGAAGTATTCTCTACGAAAAGAATAGCTGTTTTATCATACACGTTGCTAGCATAGCATTCCATCTTTCAAATAAAAGTTATTCTATTTATATTTATGAAATTGAAGAAAACATGGCAATGAACTTTAAAACAGTACACGGGCTACCCAACATAAAATATAAGCCAAAAGCTAAATTGGATTTAGGTAAATTTTAGACAAAAACTGCTGGAGTGTAAATATGTTCCAAGTCAACTACGTACTCATTTTAGTTATTTCGGGCTTAATTATTTTAAATTTATACCCCATGTACAGGAAAGCCGCACAGACATGTTTGCCACCTTGTGCATAGCATATATTTTGTTACACCTAATGGTTTCACTGCAGGTGTTTGTGATCTATCTTCCCATAATGCTACATTTCCGATGGTTTCTAAAGGGTGATGGCTAACGGGTTCATTGTCAGATATTTGTGGACATTTCCTGTGCAAAGATTACTCATAGTTCTGCTAGTGGGTATTGAACGAATCTACAAAAAAATGCGCGCGCATGCTGTTTATGCCTTTCATAACCAAGACTAGGTGATCTATTGCCTTGTTACTAAGACCGTCCTGCCAAAACTAAAAGGATTAACAAGCTGGATTTTTAACCAATAAGTGTATAAATAAATAAAGTCAAGTGAAAAGGGGTGAGGGAAATAGGGAATAAAACTAGCAGCATAGAACCAGCAATCAAAAAGGAATTTAAATGTATCTTTATTTAATTAATTTGATGTAGAATTTATACATGAGTTTCAATCTACCTCAATCATTCCTCAGTTTGTTCTTCAGAGTAAATAATTATGCAATAATCAACTAATAAATTAACTTGAAAAAAAAAAGTGGGACATGAAAGACATAGAAGATAGTTATTTTTTATTGTTTTTTTATTTTTACGTCAATATAGAATCTTTGCAATCAGCACGTTGTTTCCTGTTTGAGGAGTTATACATCAGCCAACACCGTGTGAATTTAGAGGGGTTAATCCAGCCTTTACAGGTTGCGAAACACACTAAGGTGGTTAGGGGGGGATCCTGATTCATCAAACAGCAAATGTGTGACGTAGATGAGCCTAAAGAAAACAGATGTTGCTATGTGTGCATGCGATAGCAATAAAAAGCGATAAATGTACATGAAAAGCAAACTGCATTTTTAAAGTTCATATTTTTAGTAATAAGGGGATTTTTTTTACATCACAAGAAGCATAAACAAAAGTCAGTTTCCTTTAGCAAAATTGGAGTACTAACTCTGGGTGCTAAAAATTAATCTTAATCTGAATGTTACTTTACTCAACACATTTCCTGCAGTTTTAAACTATGGTAACTACTGGGAGATACACAGAGAAAGGACCATGAGCAAAACAAATAAAAATAAAAAAGTGCATGTAAGGAAATAATAAATTAAAGGGACACTATAGTCACCAAAACAACCACAGCTTAATGTAGTTGTTCTGGTGTCTATAACCTGTCCCTGCAGGCTTTTTTAACGCAAACACTGCCTAGAAACATCTCTAGTGGCCATCACGCTGAACAATCTCCATAGAGATTGAGCATTCATTCATCAGAGTTGCTGACTGGTACAACGTGGCGTTTTGTTGCGCATGCTCTATAGCCTCCCCATGCTTTCCTATGAGACGTGGCTGATTTGGGCTCCTCACTAAATCCCAAATAAATGGAATAAACTACGGCACCCAGGTTTGATTTTGCATTTCAGCTACTGCTTACCAGACCATGCTAGGTGAGAGGACACCCCGCTCCGTTATTGAGCTTCCCTTCGATCTCTACGCCCTGGAAATCAAGATGCGGCCTGTGAAGCCTGGTGGGCCCTGTAGGCGGGAGTTGTGACCAATCTCCCATTCTGGAGCCGCTGATTCTGCTGCAGAGTCCTGTTAGGCCCCCCCTGGGCCAGTTGGTTTTATCCCGGTCCACAATGGAGAGTCGGGCAGGCCCTGGAAGCTGGGCCATACACAAGCTACAAGTGCACAAAACGCTTACCTACCTAAGATGGCCGTCGACATCCATGTGGCTGAGCCCGTGATCGAGGTGAAGCAACAGCAGCAGCATTGAGAAGCAGCTCCTGATGCCATGTACAACCAAATTTGGTGCAGCCTGGAGGTGAAGACACACCTCCAGGCTGTGTGTCTGTGCCATCAGCCCTCTGTACCTGCAGTACTGCTTGCTGAGGCAGCTTGCTCCCCTCCTACAGCCGCTAGAGGCGCTTGCGTGCTTCTCAGTGAGTGAGAAGACGACAGCGTCCATAGGAAAGCATTGGTAATGCTTTCCTATGAACTGACTGAATGATGCGCATTCAGCCGATGACGTCGCTAGGAAGGAGAGGAGGAGGAAAGCTGGAGGTGCTGGAGAAAGGTAAGATTTTAACCCCTTCCTCTCCCCAGAGCCCGGCGAGAGGGGGACCCTGAGGGTGGGGGCACCCTCAGGACACTATAGTGCCAGGAAAACGAGTATGTTTTCCTGGCACTATAGTGGTCCTTTAAGTGGTTTGTCTCCTCTCCAGTGTTATTATATCTTGTATCTTAACTGTTTTAGCTTGTTTATTATTCCAGAAATGTGCAGTTCTATCAAATGCCATAGTACTATGTATCGTGTACTGCTTGTATTTGCTGTTGTGGCATAGCAAGCTTGTATGTCAAACTTATACACAACAAACTTAAAGATTTACAACAAAACAAAAAGAGAGAGAAGCAGTGACTATACTCTTAAGTCATATCATTTTAAAAATAAAGGTTACTGCCTGTAACACAGCGTTATTTACTACAGTGTTAAAAGAACACTTGGGGGGGCCTGACAGCTGACCAAGATGGCTGCATGTTGCTTGAGCTCTTAAGTGAAAAACAGAATCGTCACATTTATACTGATATTGCTGCTGGTTTCCTGACGGAATCTCAGCTACACCAGTCAGGTTACACTGAGACAGCAGTCTAAGCTATCCTGGCTAGACATTACCCGTGTTGATCATCTTGGCGGCCTGTGGCTACACTCAAGGTAGGGGAAGCGGCCAATTCTCTGCCCACGGTGCTTGCTACCTGTCACTGAGTCCTGTCTGGACTGGTGGGGGATATCTCAGTCCCCACTGGAGTGCTGACTTGAATTCACCTGAGACTTTGCTGCTCCTGCAGGGCTGGGTGTCTGAGGCCTACTCTCAAGATGGCTGGCGCTTTTCATGCTCCCTTGCTACAGGCCTCTCTGGAGGCGCGGCTTAACCGGGCCTTCTTGCGACTGTGGTCGCAATTCTGGGCTAATATACGACAACGGACGGTGGAATCCACAAGTACTGAAGCCCCTCAGCCCAGGCCTCAACGTCACCTCTACACAGCTCAGTATGCTACATGTTGCTCAACCAGGGCGCTCACAGTGCGGAGGAAGTGGAATCGGCGAAAGCTGCATTACTGGAGACCTAGCTCGGCATCTAGTCGCCACCTACCCAGTCCACGATCCACTCAGAGTCAGTTCCCTTGGCTCAGCCCACACCCGCAAACCTACGATATATACCGACGAGAACACTCCGAAGAGAGAATCTGGGATCCTGTTGCAGTCGCCGGGCGCAGTTGGACATGTGGGATAGGTGCACTGAATCATCTTGAAGTCTGGGGTTGGCGGAGCGACTTTGATTGCTGCAGGGCTCTGGGACTCCTACCTTACCACTGGAGAGCTTGCTGTGTGAAGGGAATAGACTGATCCCCAACCTTAATTTCGATAGCAGAGTTGTGTTTTGTCTAATTTAAATGTCTCTCCATACGCATTGGCCATCAGTTTAGTCCTGTTTTTTCTGTGGTCATAGTACCCAGTGGCACATTTAAGCTTACGGGTTAATTTTATTCTTGTGTGTTCACAAATAATTTAGTGTACTCCACTATTCATTGGTGCCAACATCATGCTTTGTTTCCATGTAGTTATATGCCTGGTACCATTGCATGTCTTATATATGTGCTATACTCCTTAATCGACCTATAATGCTAACTTCATACCAGTCAGTTTTTGTCTTATCTAACCTAAGCTTGAAGCCTGTGTCTGGATATCGGATACTGCATTTATGTTCTTTTCTCTTGTTTTCTTTTTGATTTCCTAAAAATGTGCTAGTACATGCCATGCCATGCCATAACAATATGCCAACATGTGTCTTATTTAAAGATTGCTTTGCTGTTGTGGGTTTGCAAGCCTATGTGTATTCTATTGCACGACAGAAATAAAGATTGGCAAAAAAATAAAAATAAATAAACACTTTGGGCATTATATCCAGTACATCTTAATTAAGTGGTTATGGTGCCTGGAGTCCCCTGGTGTTGCTTACCTATTAGTGTAAAACCATTTTGGTGCTCTTAGCCTATCACTGCCTGCCCAGTGCAAATTCGGCCATTAATAGCCTAAGAGTGTCAGCTTTCATCTTAACTTGAGCACAGGAGGAGAGACAGCAAACCAACTTCTGTGGACACTTCTTCAGTGTTAAACAAATTGAAAAACACTTTAACACTTGAAGGTAAGGTTGTGCCGGGGGACTCAGGGCACCATAACCACTTCATCTCAATGCCACAATAATCAAATTTAATACTTTAATTCAGTTGTGTGTTTTAGTTTGGCTTTTTGTCATAAAATGTGTCTGCATTCAACTACATTCATGCAGACAGTGTGTCTAGTGAGAAAACATCCTTTTTATCTGCTGTTATCTAAGAGCTACACCCAAGCTCTCTAACACGTGAGTGCTAACATTATGGATTACCTAAAAAAAAACATTTCCTTAACTTTTTACTCTGACCTAACAGGCCACTCAGTGTATTTTTTTTAAATGAATGTTTTTTCTTTACAGATGAAAAAGTATAGAAAGCATTTACTACGCTTAAAAAATGTTTTTCAATGACTAATATACATTATGTTTTACTGTTATCACTGTAAGTCTACAATCTGAAGGATTGGATCACAAATGGGACAGCGGAAGAATTATTTATTAAGAAAAGTTTTCCTGAAGGTGAATGGCTGCCAGGGGTATTCACAAACCAGGAATATATGGAGAATTACAAATATAATGCTAAAATAACAAAATTGTCAATACAGCTGATTTGGAGCATTTTCCTGTTTGTGATATTTCTTTGCAATTCTCTCCAACATGCTGATTTAGTGAAGTGCGTCCTGTGCTTGAGTTTCTCTACAACAGTTTCATGTGTTTCAATACTTTAACAACGGCTTGTTTTGGGGTTATTTACTGATCAGATAATTATGAGAATTGGCAAGAGTACTGCAAAATTTAGGCCAAAGTCAGATTTCAAAATTCTTAAACTATACTATTTTATACTTTAACATAAATCTGGCAGTTATCATCATCTCTCTACAATTCTCAATTTAGTTACTATATCCATATGTGAAGGATTTGCCACTTCTGGATTGGGTTGCCAGTTCATTATTAATGAGTTAGGCTTAAAAAAAAATTAAATGACCACTAAAGTCACTTAGGCCACTTTGTCTCAATGAAATGGCCTGGGTGCAGTGGTCCTGTTATTTTAAACATTCAATGTAAAACACTGCAGTTTTGTAGAAATGCCAATGTTTACCTTGAAGGGTAAAACACACCACCAGTGGCTGTTACACTGACAGCCACAGAAGGCGCTACTACTGCAACGACTGAGCAAAACCTGGTAAAGTGACCTTGCAGTTCCTGCTAGAATGAATTAATTCAATACTTTCCTATGGGGAAGCCAGAATGCACACGCCGTATTCAGCGCGCATGCACATTTTGTCTACATACAGATTTATATTCCTAACGCTTTAGGATTCCTTTAGGCGCTCTACCAACAGCCAATAATTGCCACCAGAACTGTACGCAGAATTGTCTTTCAAGCAAAGGTGTAAAAGGATATAACGTCCACACATAAGCACGGGCAAGGATGATGAAACAAATTTAAAAAAAAAGTTGTTTATGGTATTGTGAGCAAATATCCTGACTGGTGACTAAATATCACTGCTTACCTTTTTCATTGAATAATTAAAAATATTTCTTGGTTAAGTATACATTTCCAATGCCGACTGATTCCTTACATATATAATTCATATGGCTATTTATTTATCAAAGTAAGCATTACCTAGCACAGCTTCGGGGGTGCCCTGTGGTGGCCTCCCCTGTGACAGAGATCCTCTTGGCGCCCCTATTTTCGGGCACCTGGAGGATCGGCACGGCACGGGGGGGGAGAGGGGTAGTGTCTCAAGTGCCGTCCACCCAGTGCTGTGGCCCAAGACAGGGGGAGCCCACCAGGAAATATCCCGGTTGGTGTCCCCTGCAGGCCAGCACCCTAGGCAAATTCCTAGTTCGACTAACGGTTGCGCTGGCCATGGTACAGCGCTATGGAAAATGCTGGCACTATATAAATAATAAACTAAAAATAATGAATAAAGCCTTAAAAATCCAAAGTAAAAAAAATTAGGGAATAACGTTCAGCTTTCAAAAGCACGACAAGACAAAACAGAAAAATAAATAGCAAACTGAAAACCTTCCTGCACATTTTCACATTATGTTATCAGGATTTAGAAAGAAAACCATATACAAACTATTGCTGCATTGTAGTTTGAAAGGAACATTAGTTAGATGCTGGTAATCTTTGAACAAGTTTAGATTACTAAACATTTCATTAAAAGCCTTGCACAGAGTGTAGGGGCAGTCTTTCTCAAAGTGGGTTCCGAATTTGTGAATTAAATTCTCATTGGTCGGAACAGGTCATATTAATCAAGCCACAGACAACTGACCACAGCTGGTTGGTAAAAGCCTAATGAAAGTATTTTGTTCAATTTATTTTGTTACATACAAGTAGGTCTGGAAATATTCGGATACTGACACAAGTTGTGTTATTTCGACTGTTTACAAAAATAATTTTAAGTTACATTTAAATAATGAATAGGGGTTTAAAGTGCAGTCTCTCAGCTTTAACCCCTTAAGGACCAAACTTCTGGAATAAAAGGGAATCATGACATGTCACACATGTCATGTGTCCTTAAGGGGTTAAAAGGCCAATCCACTGACCAAATAAAAAATAAATAAAAAATCACTGTTTAGTAGATATAACCCAAATGAAAACTTGCATGTATTTTATTTTGTATTTCTTCATTGGGTATATACATAAACTCAGCTTGAAAAAACCTACAGTTCTCTTGTCTGCAGCCTTTGCAAGCCCTCCCCTTCTAACCCCGCCCAGACTTTATGTGTCTGTCCAATCACAGACTTCCCAATACAGCTCACTAAGACTTCTTTGTAAGTCAGGTGCTCTGGGCAATTGCTGCTTCTTAAGGTCAGATGCATTGAGCTAACGAAACCAGGGAGTAACATTACCCGTACCCTGCTTGAAAGCCAAGGGGGTATAACCAGGTTAATTCATAAAAGTGTCAATTTGCATTAAAATCTTCACTTTTTGAAAAATGGAAAAAGAGGACACACTCTTTGCACATAAAGCTTTTCGGCAAGCTAAAGTTGTTTAGGGGTCTTGAGTGACCCTTTAATTTGAGGGTATTCCCATCCATACTGGAGGAAGGGTTTAGGAATTACAGCTCTTAATTATGCAGCCCCCTCTTTCTCAAAGGACCAAAAGTAATTGGACAATTGACTCAAAAGCTGTTTCATGAACAGGTGTGGGCTTCCTTCATTATGTCTTCATCAATTAAGCAGGTAAAATACCTGGAGTTGAATCCAGGTGTGGCATTCGCATTTGGAAGCTGTTGTTATGAACCAACAACATGCGGTCAAAAGGGCTCTCAAAGCAAGTGAACAGGCCATCCTTAGGCTGAAAAAAAATATTGAAAATCCATCAGAGAGATAGCAGGAAGATTAGGAGTGGCCAAAACATTCTGAGAAAACTCATTGGTGATCTCTGCAACACAAAAAGGCCTGGACATCCACAGGAAACATCAGTGGTGGATGATCGTGGTATCCATTCCCTGGTACAGAAAAGGTAAAGAAAAAACCCTTCACAACATCCAGCCATGAAGAACACTCTCCAGGAGGTAGGTATGCCATTATCCAATTCTACCATAAGAAAAAGACTTTTGCGAGGGCAAATAAAGAGGGTTCACCACGAGGTGCAAACCATTCATAAGTCTCAAGAATAGAAAGGCCAGATTAGACTTTGGAAAAAAACATCTACAAAAGCCAGCCCAGTTCTGGAACAGCATTCCTCGGACAGATGAAACTAAGATCAACCGGTAACGGCATGATGGGAAGACAAAAGTATGTAGAAGGCTTGGAATGGCTCATGATCCGAAACATACCACATCACCTGTAAAACATGGTGGAGGCAATGTGATGGCAGGTATGGCTTCCAATGGCACTGGGTCACTAGTGTTTATTGATGATGTGCAAGAAGACAAGGATGAATTCTGCATCCTGCAGCCAGATGAATTCTTAAGTGTATAGGAATATATTGTCTTCACAGATTCAGCCAAATTGATTGGACGGACCTTCACTTTACAGATAGACAGTGACCGTAAGCATACTGCGAAAGCAACCCAGGAGTTTTTTAAGGCAAAGATGTGGTATATTCTGCAATGGCCGAGTCAACCACCTGATCTCAACCTGATTGAGTAGATATTTCACTTGCTGAAGACAAAACGTAAGGCAGAAAGACACACGAACAAACAACTGAAGACAGCTGCACTAAAGATATGGCAAAGCATCACAAGGAGGAAATCATTTGGTGATGTCCACACATTCCAGATTTCAAAAAGTCATTGCCTACAAAGGATTGTCGACAAAGTATATAAAATGTACATTTTATTTATGATTGTGTTAATTTGTCCAATTACATTTGAGCCCCTGAAATAAGGGGATTGTGTATGAAAATGGTTGCCATTCCTAAATGTTTCATACAATATTTTTATTCAACCCCTTGAATTAAAGTTGAAAGTCTGCACTCCAATTGCATCTTTGTTTTTTTAATGTTAAATCCACTATGGTGGCGTACCGAGCCAAAATTTAAAAAATCGTGTCAATGTCCAAATATTTCAAGACTTTTTTTTTTTTATTGTAATCTAAGAATGGGTCACTGAGTGAAGAATTGGTGGCCATGCTTTTACGATTCACATAATGTGGATCCCTGTGAAAAAGAGGTTAAGAACCATTGGTAAGTACATGTGCCTGTTTGATTCTTTAAATCAGAATAGCTATGGAAGATAACTTTCCTTTCTTCTTTAAAAGAAAATAAGAATATTAAACAAATACAATTAAGAGACTTTAAAAAAAGGCAAAAAGGAGCATTTTCATGAAAAATAAAAAGAATGAAAAAAAAAAACCAAGAGTATATGATTTGGGATTAGCTTGGTGAGACAGTAGTACAATGTCACAAAAAGAGTTGTAGATACTTTGAACAACCCTCCAGTGGAAATAATATAAAATAGTAAAGAAACTCAAGAATGTTTGAGATGTCCATATAAAGCAATATAATAAAAACAACTAATTTAAACAAGTATGAGGTTTCATACCAGAGAAATAAGATGGGCCAACTGACACTTAAGTCTTCATAATCTCTTTGATGCTACTTGTGAAATTGTCTATAATAAAACAAAAAAGTAAAAAAAAGATACAAAAACAGTTCTTTTCTCCATAACATGCACACATAAAATTAATGCTTTTTATTTTTTGTAATTTTAGCATCATGTTATGTAACTACGTCTGAGATCAACACTGTACTAAAATTAGAGGCTTAAATGTACAATTCCTCAAGTGTCTGAGTGATATAAACACCCCTCTGCCATTTAAAGCCTTAAAACGTTTAAACTCAGAGGGTTAATGGAGTCATAAACATAAAATATCTAGAGCAGTAATGCCGTTATGGATAACTTTTGGCATTTCAGTGTCACGGACTACAATTCCCAAGATCCCCAAACAGTTGTTTGGGCATCATAGAGAAAATAGTCTACGACACATTAACTGCCAAAGGTTGGTCATTACTGGAGCAGGATGAAAAGCGTTTAAGCACACATACTTGTAGATCAGGGCCTTGACAACGCCTGTAAAACAAAAAAACAGAACATTCTAATTAGAGAAGGTTGGACAAGGAGGTTACTAAAAATAATAATAATAAGAACTCAAAACTATATCATAAAAAAGTCCAATAAGGGTTTCATCTTTACTCATCCATTTGTTTCCGCTTTATTTGTTGTATTTTCCATTTGTTGTAGTTTCTGCTGCATCACATTTCACTTCCCCTCTCTCTCTCTCTCTCTCTCTCTCTCTCGCTGTGGAAAATCGATGATGAAGTGTCAGGGGAGGCTGCAGTCACCAAGGCTCCTCCCCACCTGGTTACGTGTCTGGCAGGTGGGCTGAAGTCCTGGCAGAGGATGCTGAATAGACACGATGTGTTTGGCAGCAGCCAGCTTCTGTCACATTGTGTCACTCAGCTGCCTGCCTGCGGAAAGAGAGGAGGTGGAGGGGGGGGGGAGAACTCCCCCCTGGTCAGCCCCCTTTGAGTCCCCGCCTTTCCAACTCAGCCCAACAGAGAAAAAAAAACCTCATGGCATGTATCGCTGACAGACAGCTTGCCAAGTGTATAAAGGATGTGTCATGGTCCAAGCAGAACTAACCCATATTTAAGGACATACTTGAAAACGAGGGAAATCTCAATGTATTCTTCCCGGTAAACACATTTTAAATAAAAAAGAGCTCCCTTTGCAGAGAGTATTAAGCCCCCTTACTGATTAGTGCCAGCTGCAAAGGCTCTCATTGTACGCCTGCTAAACTGCACCGCCTGTTGCAGGACCCCTCACTGTGCCAACTGCAGGAGTCCCATCTGCCAACCCTCGCACTGCATAAACTTTACTTAACAGTGCCAGTTGGAGAGCTCCACCTTTTATTTTACCCTGTGGCAGATGTATGTCAGTGCCAAGCGGCATGTAACATTCAAGGCAAGACTTCTGACAGCGTCACCTTATCAGTCAGCATCACCTTGCACTACAAGACACTATTAGACGCTGACACACCCTTTAAAATGTGACAAGGACTCTCACAGCACCAGGTGACACTATGGGGTCACATATACATACAGACATACATACATATATATATATATATATACTCAACCAAAAAAATTTAACTATAGAAACTGATCTCCTCTCTGCCAGTACGATTTTAATGGCTCTATTAGTGCTAATAATACTGTTGAAGTAATTAAAATAAAGAAGGTAAAATAGGCAATTTTGATTAAAAATTAAACCACATATAAAAAAAAAACCACCACATGACAGTACTGATACAAAGTAACGGTGTTTAGATTCTGCTATACTGAGCATTCCATATAGAATGTGAGTACACCTCTACATACCCACCCCCCTATGCCCTGTCCATATAGGGTGCCAGCTGCGTCACGTGCCCACCTGTGCCCCCCCTCCTCCTCATGCCCTGGTAGTGTAATAGGCCAATATAGGGGTCACCCCCAAAATCCCAATTGGGGTGCAGCAGAGGGGCCGAGGTGATGTCGTAAACAAAAAAAAAATAAAGTGTCGTAAACCAGGTGCGGACAGAGCCAGGGAGAGGGAAGAAGAGGGGGGTGATTGAGAGAGCAGGGAGGGAGGGAGGAGGTGGTAGTGGTGGTGTTAGGGGGGGGCAGAGGAGGGGCGGGGAGGGAGGTGACTCCAGCATTTAGACACAAGAGCGAGAGGATCATGGCGGATGGCCCCAGGTGTAAGCGCAGAAAGCAGGCGAACCCGAGGCGGAATAACGGTGAGCCCCCCGGCCGGGTTGGAAGGAGGTGGGGGGTGCTGGGGCCGCTGGCCCGGGTTGGGGGGTTATTGCTGCGGACAGACTGGCTGGGGAGGGAGGGAGGTCGCCTGTACCGTTACATTACCTGCTCTCCTCCGCCTAGCGGTTCCTGCACCGTTACACGCATCTAATCACATGCTAATGGATGGAGGCACCTTCATTACCTCCCCCCTGCTCACACTCACCCCGGGGGCTTCTCCCCGGACCCCCTCAGCCATCCAGCCCCCCTACTACAAACTTCTCACCCCTCCAGGCTGGGGCAGGTAGTGGGGGTGCAGCCACGTTATGAGGAAGAAGAGGTGGGGGGTGTGTTTTTCTCTTTTCTTTTCAGGGGTTTCTGTGTTAACTAAGGGTAAAACAGGCAACTACCACCCCTCAAATATTGGGGTGCAACCCCCAACACCCTCAGACAGCCAGGTAGCAAGCTTCTAAAAGATGTGTGGGGAGGGTAGTCTCAACTCTCATCAAGCCTAGCCCATGACTTGTCATTTTATGAGTTGTTGTAGAATTCTTTTCATCATCATCACACCTAGCAGAACTTGGCTGCCTGAAGTGATGGGAGTTGGGAACCCCAAGAACAGAGAGAGGTGTAGTTGCCCAACTCCCTGATGATAAACAGCCTGTTCTACATTTTATTTACTTCTTTTGGTTTTTTTTTTATGATCTGCTTGTTATTTTCCAAGATTTTTAGAACTTTGTTTCCCTTTTTTTCCTCTTTTTTCCCCTAGTCTCTGGTTCTTGAGGAGTTGTTACCTGGGTGATGATCAGGCAATAAAGGGGCAGGGTTTGTGTCTCTATTGGAGAAGACACTGTTGCTGCAGTATTGATTGTGTTTGTGTGTGTGTGTGTGTGTGTGGTTTTGTCTACCTATATATTTTTTTCTTGCTGATTTGTGCATTTAGATGACTAGGTAATCAAGCCCAAGTAAGCTAACCTTTTCCATTCCCAGGATTTTTATTGGAGGGGGGGGGGGATGAATGTTTACAATTTTTTTTTGTTTTTTTTAGATAGTTAACCCTATAAAACACAGATCCATCCTGATAGCCCATTCTAGCTGCTGCATTGCCACTGTCCAGCACAGCAGCCAAACTGAGAGCTGCGATTGGGGCTTGACTATAGGTCACTTAGAATTGATGGGCAGCTGGGTATCCAAAGATGTTCTGCAGCAGCAGTCACTGGATCTTTGATTTGCCAGGTTCTGGGGACTGGGTTACTTCCAAAAAAGTGACAGCTTTCTTTCTAGCATGTTTCCATCTACTTGCCACTGTGATGGGCATGTGACCTTAAATGGTGGCCCAAATGGGGTAACTGGCCCCCACCTCTCTTTTGCTATTGCTTCAAGGTGACGCCTACCCCTCCATTCATTGGTTTAACACTTTTGTGCTTGCACAAGGAGACAGCTTCTTGCATTGCTCTTGCATGGGTACTGCAGAGCTTTGACTTGTCTCCAGCAGAGAAGGGGTTAACCACTGTACCCATAATGGGTTTTTGAGGCTCATATTATCTCATTTCCATTAACTTTGAAGGTAATTTTCCTACTTGCCGTCACACCCTTGTGCTCTGTTTCAATGCCACTTTCCATTCCTATATTTTTAATCTTTAATCAGTGTTTTAGATTTCAGCTCTTTGCTAATCTGTTCTCTTGCAATAGGTGTATAGACAGCTTTGTGGGGTATTTTAGAATGGGTGTTTTCCCATTTGGTGGGGGTGGATGATGAATTTGGGTGCGGTAAGGGCTGGGGAATGGCCTACATTAAGTAAAGTTGTTTTTTAATTTTTTTTTTTTTATCCTCCTCCTCCTCCTTCTTGCCTGCAAGAGGTACCTGCCTGTCTACAAAAGGGGGTGGTGTCTGTTTGCAGAAAGGGGGGCCCCTTTTTTCTCTGTCCAGCAACTGCTGCAGTCTATATAAGGATAACATTTACATTTCACACTCACTACCCCTGGCTACATTTTATTCTTCATCTGCCCCCCACACCCTCCCTCCCCTTTTACATGAGTTATTTGAAGATGCAGGAGTAGTTCCATAACCTTTAGAGAGAGAGATCTATTCTCTGTAACATGTTTCAGGATGATGCCCCCCCTAACTCCCCCCCCCCCCCCAATCCCATAACACTAAAACCAGAGGGTTATTAAATAAATGTTTTAAGTCCATGAAAACACAGACCAGGGAAGAGGGAGGGAAGGATCCTTGTTTTTGTAATACCCCCTCCTGTTACGTGCAGCTGAGATTTTGTAACCTTTCTTTTTACTCTTCCTTGGTACATTCTTTTTTTTTCTTAAGATATTTTTTTTGTATTGGGATTTCCTGCCTTGAGCACTGATGGGATGGGCTTTTTTTTTAACATGGTGATAAATCATATATTCTTTCTATACTGTTGGGATTCTTAAGAAGCAAGGCATTCTGTATTAACCCTTTCATGCACAAAACTCTACCTAATATGGCTTGTGAACTGTTTTTTTTTTTTTTTAAATAATATTTTCTTATTGCAATATTTAAGGATTTTGTCACTGCTATTTTATATCACTATTTAAGAGATTCTAAAGGACTTTTCTGCTTTCTCCAGGTAAGTTTAGGCAAAAAAAAAAATATTTCATGATTTTTAATATTTCCTACTGCAAAATCCCTTTTTCTAGTAATGGGAGGAAAAAGGGGGCATTTCTTTCTGTGACATCATTCATGTGTCTGACATGTGGTCCTAAACCACCCAGTGCCTGTGCAGGCTGCAAGCTCTGTAAACATGTTTACCTGAGCAGGGAAGAAACATGGATTTTATTCAATATTTAAGGATATTAGAAGGTTTGCAAGAAAGAATGATTATCCTCAAGTCTGGGGAGCTGTACTGAACAGCCTGGATCACTCCAAGCCTATTGACATCTACAGGAGAATGCTGCATCAAATGGCAACGTGTGCAGGTAGAAAAAAAATATGGTGTTTGGTTCTTCCCTGCATGTCTGTTAAGCCCCCTCCTGTCGGCTGGCTTCAGTTCTCCTGGGAAGCATTGATTTACCTCTGTCAAGCGCTTTTTTTTGTCTTTTTTTTTTTTTTTTTTACCTTCTGTTTAATGCTTTTGGATTTTTTTTTTCTTTGTAACAAAGATGTGAATGTGATGATTACCGATTGCATAGTCTACCCACCCTTCAAACAAAAGGTGCATAAGGAAAATCAGATTCCCAGGTATTTTTCCATCCTCCCTGTGTAGTGGATGCGTCATCTTTCTCCCTTTTTTTTTTCTTTCATCCCACACCATGTAAAATTGATGTGGAAAAAAGCCTTTTATTTCTTCCATGGACCATTTCTGATTACTATTATTTATATTATTAATAATGGGATTTTTGGAGCTGATATACCATTCATTGCAAAAAGCATAGTGGAGCTTGATCTGTTTTGGCTTTTTACATTTATTTATTTTATGTTTGATGGCAAACAATTTAATAAAAACACACTGTGAAATTTTTGTGATTTTTAATTTTCTTTTTTTTTTTTTAAATGTGTATCGGTTCTTTTCACAATATTGAACCGCAGTAGACCTCATCTTTTTTTTAGGTGAATTATTGTATATCAGGAGAAATTATTTTAATGTAGAATTATTATTATTTATTTTTTTAAAGACTCCATTGTAACACAGTAAAAAATAAGTATATAAGCATTGTTCTATGTATCTAACACGTTGCAGCAAGGTAGCTGAATGCAATAGAGGGGGAGGGCACTGGGCGTACAAGTAATGGGAGCTGACAGCCTGTAAACTAATTGAAAGCATTTGGC